AAGTCAGTTGGGAGCAAAACTTCCATCAAAGAACCCTTGTACAGACTTGATAGGAAAGTTCACTTCTCTTTGGTTTGATTGAGAACAGTAGAAATCAACATAACATGTGCTGACCTGGTTTCGCAGAACCCGTGTTTTGGCATGTTCAAATATATGTTGTTTAAACATGTTTGTTTTGGGACCAGGGTTTGGTTGTTTCAATCATCAGCAAGGGTATGTAGCATGTATAGCCTCAAGAGGGATGTCCCAGCATTGATCCCCTTTCGTAGCCAAACGGGACCTCCTAAAAGAGGCCATTTGCTGCCATGGACTCCCTTAATTTTCCCATCCAGAAGCGTCAAGCGGTGAGAATAAAGACGCCAGCTGCCATTTCACGGGAGGATGTGTTCGGAAGCTCGGCCTGTTTGAGGTTTCAGAGATCAGTTAGGTCCCACCTTATTAAAAAAAGAGAAACACAACTGATGATTTGCCGAGCTTTTTTTGTCAGGATGGTGGTGTTTTTTAGCAGCACGGAGACGGAGGCCGCAACAGACCAGCCAGCCCCAGGGCCACCGCCGGGCTTTCATGTTGAAACATGTCCGGCTTCCGGGTACGCTGCACTTGTCCCCGAAAAAACAACCGGACATCCCGAATCCAAACCCCCCAACCACCAACTTCCCAAGCCATCAACCTCCCAAAAACAAGGAAAAACACCACCACCCACCTTCCGCCCTTGCGGACTTGTCCCAGGCTTTGGTGGGGCGTCTCCTGGCAACCTTTCAAGCCAGCTGAGACCGCGACGCCATCGGCCGAGGCAGGGCCTCGAACCTGGTTCTTCATCCCAAATGGATGTTTGGCGGGGGTCACGCTGCAACTGGATCAAAAGTGACCCGGATCCTTTCTCGCCAGGAACTGTCGGCTGCCAAGACTGTGTGCCCCCAAATCGGAATGGGCGGAAGACCCCACAGAAGCGCCTTTGGCTCGGATTTTTTGCACGCGGTGTCCCTTTCAACTAGCCAAAAGGGATTTCAGGACTTGGAGCAGTGGATTCTTGAAATGGCAACAAGCGGAAGGAGGTCCTATTGAGGGAATTGTGGTATCATGACCATGTTGATTTTGATCATGACACAAATGGTTGGAACATGTTGGCTTCCTTTTCAACCTTCACCGGGAAAGCTTTCCGCGTTGACAATTGGCAGTGGATTTCAATGAGGATCACCGTGAACAATTGTTGGTGGACATGAATCCTCCGCCAACGGAGCCCCAAGTACAAATCATGCTCAAATTTATTTGGTTTCGGGCGATGAGCTTGTTTCGAATGCGCGCTAGCCGCGGCGCTTCCCTGAGAACGTACGCAAAACCGGAAACTCTGGAAATATAGCCCATGCTATTCCATGATGAACACCCCAAATAGATCAACATCCAGCCATCATCAATTGCAACACATTTAATTCTTTCGATCTTCGGTTCACTCTCTTTCTGGTGTTGGTTCAAGGAAAGGCAAAGAGAAGCACGCTTGTTTTCTTTGTCTTTTTTGTTGGATAGGGCAGCAAGCCAAAACATGAGACATATTCACTTATATATGTCATGTTTAGGCAGTTTCCCTTGGGGGAACTTTCCCTTGTTCAGGGCACTTCCCTGCGAATCGTCCCTTGATTGAAGACCATGTCATTGGGTTTATTGTTCTTGCTGGTAAGATAGGCAGGGAACGAGTTAGAATAGCCTCCCAAAAAATAGGCCCAGTGGTTTCCTTTAAGGGAACCCCCTTCCAGTTCATTTCCGCTTTGAAGTCATGCCTAGACGCTGCTAGGGGTCCCAACTGCAGCTAACTGCCAGGGGCGTTTCCCATCCGGACTAGCTAACAAAATGGGGGTCCCCAAAAGTTTCCCCCAAAGATGAATGGGCTGTGTAGGTTCACTGTCAATCTGGAACGCCTCTTTTAAAGGAAATTGAATGGCTCGGGGGCAAACGCATGTTTCCTTTTTCTGCCCAAGCATTGCAGTTTCCTAGACAGTTGATGTTTGTCCTCATTCCGTGTGGGAACTACAATGACCCCCTTGACCAGTTTACGCAATGTGTTTCGGGGTAGTAGAATCATAGACAGGCGTGGTTGTCGAAAAACAGAATCAAGCAACTTGTCCAAAACCATGTAGACTCCGACCCACCAACTCCCCCACTCAAAAAAGCCCGGGGACTCCCTCCTGTTCTGTTGGCCAGGAGTGGCTGGTGGTGGGCGATGGCGCCGACTTCTTGGCCAAGGTGGGAGACGTGGTGCCCAAGGCGACGGCCGTGGGCCTCCAGAAGTTGGCCTCGGAGAAGGAGGTGGACCAGTGCCTCGGGTTAAAATATTCGCCGTCACTAAAGGCGGATTTACTGCCCAGGGGGACATGTAGCTTGGTGGCAAGCCCGGCCATTTGGTTCTTTAGGTTTGGTTTTCAGTAACGTTGGTTTAGTGATTAGCTTTCCATCTACCCCACTAAAAGTTGAACTTTTAGCAGGGGATCTGAGGACAGACCAGGAGGGCGTTGTTTCTCTCTTCTTTCTTTCGTTTGCGTGTTCTGGGATTTTACGATCTTTGTTTGAGTTATTTCTCTTGCTTTTCAAGGCTGACTAAAATGGGCCATAGTCGAGCAACATATGAGCTACAAATATGAGCTACCACTGAAAGGGTTCTTGCAAGAGGTCTGTATTGGGAGTGGAACACGACAAGAGAAACCAAACAACGAAGGCGAGTCTTAAAAACGAAGGATCCTTATTGTTCGTGCGCTTGGGGGCTTTTGTAGTGTCTTTGGCTTCCCTTTAAGCCACCAAAAGCCAAGCGCATGTTCGAACCAAGCAGCTCGTGTCAGGCTGCTGTCACGGACCTGGTCCACCGTGGTCTTCGCCGGTCTCAGCTCGGAGCCTTCCTTGGAGGGGCCCACCTTGGCGGCGCTTTTGCGGCTGGTCCAAGGCATCCGCCCGAAGCGGGGAAAGCGAAGGGGTCGGAAAGTGAATTCCCCTATGCACCGAAGAAGGAGAAGGGGGAGCCTCTGGTTTTATGTCAGGTCTGAGGAGACTGGGGGGGAAGGAGTGTTCCGAACCCTGAGATGGCTTCTACTTATCCGAAGCTATCGGATATACACGATCGAGCCACTATATTAGAGAATCGGTATGCTTTCCGGGTCGTCTCACCCTGCCCAGTGAGCTGGATTCAGGGCGTGCCAGAAGCTGTTCAGGGTTAGGCGGCAGGTGGGGAACTTGGCCAGGAAGTGGAGAGACGGATGTGATTGGTTGATATAGGCTGAGGCAAATAAACCCCAAATGGTTAAGGCTAAGTATTTGGGAGCCTTTGACTCGCTACATGCGGGGTTGTCAAAAGTATGGACCCTTTTTGGGACCTCTTCTTTTTCGCCGGGGCCCCACATAAACCATGGGCCCAACAAACACATGTTTGACCACCCGGGGGCATAGGTGTCCTTTGTAGGTTAGTTTGATTCAAAACAGATGGCACTGGTTTAGGTGGGGTTTCTTCCATTTACCAGGGCCATCTATTTTTCCAAAAGGCCACCTATGTCAACCCGCGTGTCAGGTTTGGCCAAGGCTGGCAAGGCGGTGCGTTTCCTGGTGCTCACGGCTGGGGCCCAGAGCGCCGCCGGCGACATCGGCCGCGGTGTGTTGGGCGCGGCGGTCTGGGGCTTCGTGCGCTCTTTGCGCCTGGCGGCTCGACCGATTTTCCACGTAGCCAGCAGGGAGCCTACTGGTTCAACTGGGCTCAACTATATGGATGTCCCCATATCCTGGTTCAACCAGGCTCAATCATTCAGCAGGATTTTCCATTATCCCTTCCCCCCAACAAGACCCCCCTGATAGGACATCCTTTTTGGATGAGCTGTTTGGTTGCGCCGAGGAGCTGCCGCTGTTGCAGCTGAAGACCGTGGACCTGTCCAGCGACCTTGCGGAGTTGGAGACGGACACACCGGCTCGCGGCTCCCACGAGAGCCCCAAATAAGGGATAAGCAGGAAAGAAGCCTAGTCGGTCGCGTAGTCCCGCAGGTGTTGGTCATAGTTTCTTGGCAACAAATTTATCAATTCTCAGGTGAGGAAGCTTCATGATGCGTGACCTCGTTTTGATTCGGTGGGCTCCTTATGGGTCGTGCAACTCATGGTGTTCAAATGTTCCCCGGTCGAACAAAGTGACCAAACCACTCTTTGACAAGGACATTCCAGTTAAAATGAAGTTGACCCTAGCTCCCTATACTATAAGTGCAAGTCAGGGTTCTCCTGTTGAGGCCAAGAACTAGCCCTCTGGAAGTGTAGCTGTCCTTGTAGACTTGTAGAGGCTGAACCCTAACCAGACTTTTCCAAATGTAAAAGTGGCAAATGATTCGCCGGGCATGAGCGTGGCCGTTTTTTGGGGGACATTCTCAAGCCGTTGCGAACTTGTAACAACGACATGCTTTTGAAGCATCTATTTCATGAGCTGGTGCTGGTTGCTTCCATGGACTTCATCCAGAAAGACAATCGCAGTTGGTTTTGCTAGGGCGTGCCCCGTTTGACAAAAAGTCCCTCTCTTTGGGGCTCAACACTCCCAATAGATCCAGGTTGATGAAGTCCGAGTCGACCCTATCCAGGGAGCTATTTTGCAAAGTCCATTTTCCAGCGATGGCGAGCAAAACGAAAGGGCCCGAGTCACTCAAACCCGTGTCACTTGAAGGTCCTTCAAACTTGGACCCCTTGAATGAGCTTTCGTTTGAGCCACAAGATTTTTTTTCCAAACTGCACGGAGAATTTCGAGGATTTCGGGAGACCTGACTGGACGCGGGGTTCATTTCCAACCTGAAGGAAGCCAAATGGGGATGGATCATGGAAACAGCCAGCAACAACTCATGGCCTTGCTCCAAAATCGTTTTGTATCGGTTTTTTTTTGGTGTGTTCTTCTTTTTTCTTTTCTTTTTTTCTTTTTGTTTGTTCTTCTTTTTCTTTTCTTCTTTTTCTGGATGAAATCCATGTTTTCTGGCTTCAAGCCCCTGGGTTTGGCACCCCGTCCCGCCGGGATTTGGCGGATTTCGATGCCGTCCTTCAGGAGCTGCGCGCTGCGGGCACCTGGCCCAGCGACGAGGAGCAAGCGGCGGAGGCGGCCGAGGTGGCGTACATCCAGGCGAGGGCGAACGGCAGAACGGCGCGGAAGTTTTCTCCGGGCTGGGGGGGTTTCACAATGTGAGTCACGGTCAGCATATGCATAGATCACATGGTGTTTGGAGGGGGTACCCTTTTGAAATCAAGCAACTGTCACAGAAAACTGGCAAAAAGGTTGCCAGGTTCCTGATTTCCACTGGAGGTTGTGGTGAGGAATCTCACAGTCCCACGTGCTTGCAAAAGCCAAGAGGATGTTTTTTTGGACCGTGTCCATAGCAGGCAACATCATTTCCTGGCTCATAGTGGACCTCTCAAACACGCTTTTATAGCTTTACTAAACATGGTTGCCAGAATGTAGCTTAAGACATGAGCTGGACTGGGGATAGTTAAAACCCTGTCATGGGGATGTTTGACAAGCCATTGTAAGGGGTGCTTTAAATGACGGACTCGCCCCCATGTAGAGTCTTGACTATCGTACCCGCACATGTGTGTGTTTGTGGCAAAACCATCGACCCCTTGTTGGTTTATGTCGAATGGACACCAGCTATCAATCATTTGGATGGTTTTCTTAGTTTTGACAGGTCGCCCACGTTGCAAAACAACCCTGAAGAGTAACAGTAAATTGCTGGTTTGGGTGGGACGGTGGATTCCGATCCTTGAGTACCTGACTTCCAAACCATTTCAAATGTTTGGAGAAGACGAGGTACTCGGGTGTGTCTTTTTTGTGGAACCTCAAGAATTGTAGTTGTATTTTGGTTTCCCTTACAAACCCACCAAAACAGGGTACCCTGAAAAGAAGACACCGGGGCAACCCTCTCCCCAGGCGATGCCGTTGACACCTCAGCGTTATTGGCGGACATCAAATGCAAGTCCAAAGACGTGTCCCAAATTCACCCCCAAATCAACTTGAAATGATTTGCAGGGAAGTGCAGTACTGTGAATGCTCCTTGCAAGCCCCGTGAGTGCCCCGAAGATTGGCCCCATCCCCAAAACAGATTTCCGTCGACTATCACGGCTCAATCTGCTTTGAAAGTATACCAACCGGGTGGCTTAGGGATCAGGTCGCAAGTGAAAACCAGCGATGGCGGGTCACAAGTCATGGGGCAAGGCTGGTGGCTCGGCTGCTCGGTTTTTTTTTTCTCCTCGGGTCCCAGCTCCCAGGGCGAGCGGTGCGTGCCGCGGCTGCGCCTGGCGCCGGTGCCGCCGGGCTCCGCACAGCTGGAGGCCTCTGGCAGCCAGCTGATCTCCGGCGGCTTCGGGGGCCTGGGCCTGTCCATTGCCCAGGACCGGGTTCGGCTGGGAGGCTTGGCTTGGGCTCGGTTTAGGGTTGGTCGTTGGTCCAGGGTGTGTGTTTTTTTTTTTGTTTTTTTTTTTGAAAGGTTCGGGGGGTTGGAGGCTTGATGTTTCACTGTGTGTTTATTTCGTTTTGCTTGGTTGGGTTGGGGGGAAGAATGGTGGCCGATTCTTCGCATTCTGGTTCCCAGAGAGCTGAAGCAGAAGGGTTGTGCTTGTTTGTTTTGCCTTGTCCTGAAGGAACGGAAGAACTGCAACCATGGAAACGAGCGAAGGGAAAAACCAAGTGTGCGAAGCGAACGAATGAAGGGAACCCAAGGGAACAAAGGGAACATAGAGAGGAAAGGGAACGCAGGGGGGACAAAGGGAGAGAATGGAATCAAAGAGCTGAACGTACGTGAGCCTGAAATACTTGAATCCACCCCTTCTTATGATGGAATTGCCTTCGAAGCAATCCAAAGAGCGGATCCCCAATGTCAAGAAGCTCCACCTGTTTAACTTGGAATGTTCAAGCATTAACTCCTTTGGATGTCACTTGGTTCAGACGGGCATTGCACATGCATGGTGTGTGTGTGTGTGGGTGTGTCAAACCTAGGATCCGTTTTGCGACGTGTTCAACCCGAAACCCACTGATGGCCTGAAGCATGCGTGGCCTTTCCCCCGTGTTTTCGTACAAGAGCGTTTGCCACATTGGCTTGGCTGACTTGAATGGAGATCGCTCTCCGACATGGTGAACTCAACCGTGTGAATGATGTCCACCAACCAGCCCCAAACTCCACGACCTGAGGTCAGCACAAAATTCGAGCAACTCCTTTGCAGAGCCCTCTCCTGTTTTTTTGGTTTCCCCCACTAAAGATTCCATGCTTGTGTAGCATTTGTACCCAACTGGATCTGTTGTTTTTCCCCTTTGTTTTCCTTTTTTTTTTCCGTTTTTGTACCCAACCGGATCTGTTTTATATACATATATATATATATATTGCAGTCGGTTTCACTCAGCTTCAGTTCTCCTTTAAGACACAGGAGCTGGTGGACATTGGCGCCAAGACCCTCATCCTGGTCTCCCGCAGCGGGAAGACGCCAGCGGGTGACGAGAAGCTGCAGCAGATGTTCCAGGCCGTTTCGGGAAAACCGAAAAAACCCCTTGGAACAGGCCGCTGGAAGACGTCAGCGATTGGATCTGCCTATTTTATAGTGAGCTCACTTGGGGGTAGAACCAGCAAAAGCCATGACAAAGGTCCTTTACTTGCCGTAATTCAGCTTTTGGAATTATGATTTAGAACAAAGCAGAATGGATATATGTTTGGCCCTTTTAAAAAGGGAAGCCATGCCCTCATTCGAACTATGGGATCGCAATAAGTCGATAATCCTATGCTGCCAGTCAAACTAATATATATATATATATATACACAAATATGCAGAACATGCACAAAAATTATTCAGAGAACCCAATCAGCAGGTTGCTAGGAGAAGCCCGTTCCTGGGTGGATTCTAGCGGGTATAGCGCAGTCCGGCCGCGATCCACGATCCGTGTCCGACCCTACTTCGATTTGCGCGATAAAGAATGCTGTAAGAATGCCTGAGTAGCGCCCCCACCGCCCCAGCGCATGATTGACCCTACCCTATGCAAGTGTGTGGCGTAGGCGTGTGAAAGAAAACAACTTTTCGACACTTTTCGACAAGCTGCATATGCTCGGCATTTAGCGGAGCATATCCTCTACCCTAGGTTAGGCGCTATGCGGCCTGAAGCCATCGATGCAACCCATGCTGTCTATCAGCGTGTTGGGCAATGAATTCCTCATCCACTTTGGCCGTAGGCAAGGCCTGTATACCAACCCCTCCGCGCTGAACCACCCCGGCTGGGAGATGTTCCCGGAGCCAGGCCTCAACCGCCTGATGGCGACACCGCGTCCACCGCCAAGGGAGGCACCGAGTCCATACGCGAACCGCGCCACTGTCGGGGCGCACATACGCGGAACGAAGCAAGATGCCTTGGGCGCCCCAGACGTCCTTGAGTACCTGCAGAAACCAGGTAATGCGCTGAGCGTTGGAGGCTACCACAAGTGAAGCGGCTAGGCAATCTCCTGCGATGGCCCAACCTCCTTTGGCAAGTTGCACTGGACCTTGGTGGCCCGTGGACTTTTGGAAGTCCACCAACAACTGGAGCACACTACACCATTGCACCGGGACAGCATCATCGTACGTGGCTGGCCACCAATCCAACACGGCCTGGGCAACCTGGTGGCCGTATTTCTGAAAGAGCTTATCAAGGGATGTGTGCAATATGCGTGGCACCTCCATGTGAGGGGCAACCTGTGTGATGGAGACAGGCGGCGCCTCCAGCTCCGCGCGACTTCCTCGGCGTACCTGTTCCTTCAAGGCGGCATGTGCCACTGCGATGTGAACCCGCTGTACGCGCTGGACAAATGGGCGAAGGAATCCTAACTGTGCTATCAACTGCCTGTGCGTCTGATTGAAGGCATCGCTGCGGCTATTGTTGAGCCACCCGGCTTGGGCGTCGACTGTGGTGTTGTGTACACGAGCCCACGTTTCGACCGGTCCCAAGTCTGATTCTGGAGCTGTATGCGAGGCCACCTTGATGACTTGCAACGTGCGCCCTCGTTGCTTGAGGATGGCGAGTCCGTGCTGGATGTTCGGTGGACACTGATGTCCTGCTGCCACATTGCACGTGTTCTGTTGACAACGTGTTGATTATCACACCACACGCGGGCATCGACATCACTGGCCATGGCGAAGTAGACCGCACTCACCATGGCTGTGATTTCGGCCCTCACGGCAGTTTGGACAAGCCCTGGGAGCACGCCGCCCGCCAAGGGGTTGACTTCCTCGGCATGGTCGCCAACCTGGACAAGGCGGACAGCCCACGAGGCCACTCGGACAGCAGGGTCGGTGGGATCCCTACATGCCCCATCAACGAACAGGTCGATGACCGAGGCAGTCACTGTGCGTGGCTCATAGCGGTGTAGGGTGTCCGGAAGCTCCCCAAGCGCTTGCAAGAAAGGCTTGTAAGCTCGGGCTTCCTGGACCCATCCATGCAATGCAAGGCACGGAGGCCCAGACTCCAGGGCATCGAGATCGGCTTCACTGCAATATGTTCGTGCGGAGGCAAAGAATGGACAATTCCAGTTCCGGTGCATGATTCCATCGGCTGCTCCGCAAAAACTGCACGCATCACACTCAGTTTGCTGTATGTGCTTGAGCGAGTCATTGGTGTAAAATGTGCCATTCAGCGCGACCCGAAGTACTCTTTGGTCCATGTCCGGGAGGTTTCGGAGGTGGGCAACTGAAGCATGCGCATCTACGGTGGCCATTCCTTCGAATCCGGGCCTGGCACTGATAATGCGGCCTACATGACGGCACCAAGCTCTTTGCAGTCGAATGTGGACCTCCTGGATGGGCGCATGCATGGGATGAAAGGCACCTACATCATCCGCAATTTGTCCGCTGTGTGACGGCCAGTTGGAGCCAATGCAACCGACTAAGGAGGACCCCACACGGGCCAGTCGGGTACTTAGCTATGGGCAGCATTGCCAGCTCACATGTGTGTTCCCACGCTTGCTCGGCTGGGCCAAACTCCCGCATGTCCTTAATGGCGTCCATGATAGCCAAGAAGCATGGGTCGGTCTTAGGCCCTTCTATCAATCCGATATGGACAAGAGGGTTGGCCCCCGGTTTGCTAACCCCGAGGCCCTGCATGGCCCCTGTGCGGAGGCTGCCAAAAGCACGCCATGGGAGGTGAACAACACTGGCTCCATACAACGCACGCGGCCAAGCGGCCACTTTCAGGGCCTGGACCTTCACGCGGTACGGACTACAACAGCGCTTGAACTTGATCCACATGTCATGCATGTCGCTAAATCTCCGCATTTGAGCCTTGTTAGCGGACTTGGCACAGAAATTCATCTGGGCTCCAAGGTCTTTGGCTCCCAGGGACACCGTGAGTCCGGCTTGCTTGAGTGTTTGGCGGCTCTTCGCAGTGGTCGCCCACACATAGGTTTTTGTGAGGTCTAAGGTGAGGTCAACCGCGTTTGCGAACCGTTGCACCGCACGGAAAGCTGCTACTACATCATCTGCATGGTCGGCTTGCACTGTCCAGTTGTCAACATATGACATCGGGGTAGTGCGCGGCACCTGCATGTTGACTGCAACTTCGAACAGGATGTCTACTATCACCATTGCTGCGCAGCTGAGTGCACACCCTTCTGCGAATCCTGTACACGACGTGATGGGGGGGCCTATGCTACCCCTGATGCGAAACCGTCGCTCCATGGCATGGAGGGCACCCCACCAAGCTCGAAGTATGGAATCTGGGACTCCAAGGCGAATGGCTGCTTGGAAAATCGGCTCCCGAGGCAAACAATTGAAGGCCTTGCAGATATCACACACCAAGCCTGCAAAAGACAGGTGATTATGCACTGCGAAGGAAACACGTTGCTGCGTCTGCCACCAAATTTGTTTGGCGTGGCGTTTGGGCATGTTGCCAAAAACATTTTGGCTGCAATACTGCTGGAGGTGGCTTAGCACTTGTCGGCCCCGTATGGAGGACCATGTTCGGTAAGTGAGGCTGTAAATGGTGATGGGACGGTAATCGCCTACTACAGACGATCGGTCCCCTTTCTGCAAGGAGCTAACAATGCCGGTTATAACCTGGCGTGGCCACACTCCACTGAGTTCTGCTTGGGAGCACACTTGCACGAGGCCATCTACGACTGCGGTGGGCATGGCCAGCACGTCGGAGCGGGCCAGACCATCGGGCCCAGTGGCAGCTGTGCTCTTCTTTCTGCGTGCTTCGCGAAGGAAATCTTCGGTCAGTACGGGCATCGGGCTAGCTGGTACATCTGGCAAATGCTGGATGAGGGCGTTGACCTCGTCCCACCGGTCAGGTGTCACATTGCGGTGCCGATCCCATCGCTGTGCCCATTCGGACTGAAAGGCGGTGAAAAGCTCGGGTAGGGATCCCTTCCAGTCATTTTGTGCAATGGTGTCCCCTACTTGTGGCGTACATGAAAGGGGTTATACCATACCATGTCGGCATCTGTCACGATGGCTTGCATGGGCTGCCCGTTGAGTTGGATTGGCTGATCCGTTACGAATGAGACTTCCTGGTCGAGGTGAAGCTCCCCGCTAGTTTGATCCACTTGTGTAACCTGCGCGGCAGTGGTTTTGAGCAACACATCAACCGGGCGAGGCTGGTCCCTGGCAATGTCCCGAAAAACCAGGCGAGCGGTTTCCTTCCGCCTCTGTTTGGCTTGCTGAAACCGTTGCTGTGAAAGGACATACTCAAGGTGATGCACCTCTGCTTTAAAGGCAAGAAAAATATCTTGAGCGATCTCAAGCGAAGGTGCCTGTGTTGGCACTTGATCTACATCCCCTACCCGATGAACATGCCTAGCTTCCCACCATTCAACAAAGCTGGGGGTGAACCCAGGGGCATTAACAATGGCCGACCACAATGAGACTTTGTGGACCGTGGCTTGGACGCTACATGAGTTCTTACGCACAAGCTGTGTGTATGCCTGCAACCTACGTAGTTGGCGAAACCATCGGGCATAATGCAGTGAACCCCCAAAGAACAAAGGGGCAACCTCACCTACCCTACCTGATCGGAGGGGGACTGCCGGGCCTCGACTTTTCACACTTTCCAGCACAGTGCCACGTCCGGTATGCTGTGGGAGCACTGTTGGCCCATTGCTCCCATGGCTCGGTGCTCGAGCTCTTGCATCATAGAGCGGTATTGCACAGTTGGGTGTGCTTCGGCATCTATGGCAATTGGTGTGTTGTCCCACTGTGCGGTGGGGTCCGAGGGTAAAGCAACAGGCATGCGCCAAGTCCACTGCGCCGACCGTTCTCCGATGGGACCAAGGGTAGCCTGGACTACAGCGTGGTCACAAAAGAAATCGGGGTGTATGTCCACCCGGCGCAACGCAAGGGCAAGCTCCCGTGAAACGTACAAGAAATCTTTGCGGCTGCACCCCTTGCAGGTGGCTTCGATTTCCTGCCCCCAGCGTGACTTGGCGAAGTCCTGGACTTCTACGAACCCGTGCTCGGCCCACTCAGCAAGAATTGCCAGCTGATCTTGAAGGTGATTGAAATCC